GTGAGTTCGATTCCCAGTACCAAAAAAAAAAAAAAGTTGGTAGAGTTAGGAAAGAAGATATGGTGTGGAGTCAGGAGTGGTATCTAGGAGATTCTCCTTTAGTGTTTCGGGGGCAGGGATGACTGGGAATCGAACCTGCTCAACAGGTGCTCCTCCACGGAACTGCAGTTCTCATCCCTTTTTGTCTGTTGGTTTAATTTTATTTTGAGACAAGATCTTGTTAAATTGCCTGGGCTGACCTTGAATTTGTGATCTTCCTGCCTCAGCCTCCTGAGTAACGGATTAGAAGTGTGCAGCATCACGCTTGGCACTTTCTAGTTTTTACTGTCTTGGTTTTACTTTGTAAGTAGGATTGAGAGAAGAGCATCTTGGTAGTTTCTAATCGTCTTTTTTTTTTTTTTTTCTGGCACTGGGAGTTGAACTTGGGACCTCAGGCTTGCCAGGCAGGCTCTTGTGCCGCTGCGCCATATGCCCGGCTCTGATTGTCAAGACCTGTTGCTAAGCCAGGATGCTCCTTTTGTTACGGCCTGAAGGATTTCTTCCTCAGTAGGAAATGAAGAGCTTTCCAGAAATCTCAGCCGAATTTTTATTTCTGTCTTTTCAGTTGTATTTTTATTTGTGTTCTTTTAGCTCTGTGGATAACATCTTTTTTGTTTTGTTTTGTTTTTTGTCTTTTTGAGACAGGGTCTCGCTGTGCAGTTCAGTCTGGCCTTGAGCTCACTTTGTAGCCCAGGCTGCTCTCGAACTCACATCGATCCTCCTGCCTCAGCCTCCTGAGTGCTGGGATTACAGGCGTGCGCCACCACGCTCGGCTTTGTGGACAATATCTTATAGCTCTATAAAGGCGTGGCTTTTTTTCCTCCTAAAAGAATCAAATTAGGGGCTGGGGATTTAGCTGAGTGGCACAGCGCCTGCCTGGCAAGTGCAAGGTCATGAGTTCAATTCCCTGTACTGGAAAATAACTGAAAAAAAAAAGAATCAAATTAGTTATCCCCAGTACCCTGTTTACCTGTTATAAATACTATTCAGTATTTTGTAGAGTGTTGCAGTCTTATCCCAAAGTTTTCTCATAAGTGAATTGAAAACAGACTTGATTCAGTGTTTTTCTTTTTCAGAGCCTATCTGTATAAGTTTCACTTAAAAGATATGCAAATAGCTTTTATCCAGGGCTGCCTTTTAAATTTTGTTAGACTACAATCCCAGGCAGCTGCAGGTCACCCAGAAGGCCCACAGGGGGCAGCACTGGAAATGGCTCTTCCCCTCTGGTCCTCTTCTGCAGGGGAGGGAGTTCTGGGAGATATTTTTCACCAGGCTTCACAAACCCCTGATTGAGATCAAAGCCCCTTTTGTACCAGCCTAGATGCTTGTTTGGTGGTGTTTCAGCTGTCTTGAGGAGTGCATTCTAGTTTTCTTGATAATAAAACCACTCATGAAAATCTATCCGAGCTGTACCTCCTCCCACAAACCAGCCTGCCTATCCATCATTCCCAGGCGCCGTTAGCATTTGAGGTGAAGTTCTGTTATACACTCAGGCTGTGGCTCTCTGAAAGTCAGTGCATCACAGAACTTTGTCTCGAAAGCTTTCTAGCAGCTACCCATTTGGGAAGTGGGAGGGGAGAATAGGCCTTTTAAATGTTTTGAATATGGCCCTAAGCTTGGAGGGTCTTTCTCAACAACCAAGGTGTAATGTGTTACAAGGTCAAGCCTTGTCCGTTGTCCAGGAAGCCTGTTTCTCAGCTGGGAGTTATTTATACACTTGCCCTTTGCAAAAACTTAAAATGAAATTACATTACCAGTAATGGCCTCTGGGGTCTTCACTGGCTGGTTTTATGGCAGGAACTCCTGAGAGGTAAAGGCCCCAGGCTGAAGGGGAAGCAGCCGCAGGAGGTGGCAGGAGAGGTGAAGGAGAGGCTGCTGGCTCCAGTGGTAGTGGAGCGGAGCGTTAAAGCTCAGGCCTAGGGGCTGGGAATACAGCTCAGTGGCACAGCGCCTGCCTGCAAGCCCAAGGTCCTGAGTTTGATTCCCAGTACCGAAATAAATAAATAAAGCTCAGGCCTAATCGCCACGGTTCTCCCTGGGAAGTTTAAAGTGACCGGCTATCTTATTGCTCAGGAAGACGCTGTGTTTGGCTTTTTTGTTGTTTTCCAGAACCAGGGGTTGAACCCAGGGCCACTGCATGAGCTATATCCCCACCCTAGCACACACCCACTTCTTTTTTTTTAATTTTGAGGCACTATCTCCCTGGCTTGCTAAGTTGCCCAAGTTGGGCTGGAACTTGTGACCCTCCTGCCTCAGCCTCCCAAAGTGCTGGGACTGCCTGCATGGACCACCATACCTGGCTTTTGGTTCTTTTCATCTTCTCAGAAGCCAGTGATCAGAGGCAGGAGCAGAACGCAGGGCTGTTACCCTTTTGTCTGCGTGGCTGTTCAGGCACTCATACCATGCTGGCCACAAGGACACTGGCTCTCCTATTTGGCTGGTGGCCGTGAGGGCTTTACTTTTCTTTGGGTTCCTGTTCTTTCTAGGGATGCCGGAAGAACTGGTCACCAATGCCAGACTAAAGTCCAGGTTAAACTAGGGGGCTGTTCTCTGAGGTTGCCATGAGTGTGGGTAGAGGGACAAAGCCAAGGATTTCCAGGGAAAAGGTGGTAGGAAAAACTTTCTTCTAAATTTCCATTCCTTTGGCTCTCTTTTCTTCCTTCAGGGAAACTCAGTCCTGTTGGTGTCTCCGTCTTGGTAAACTGAGAGCCAAATTGCTGTAGAACTGAGCCTGCTTTATGGGAAGATCTTTATTTTTAAATGTTTTTATTAGTACATGTTTTGCAGTGCATTCATAATGATTAGTTTCATCTGGGTGAGTTGGTGCGTGCACATAGCACATCTTCCTTTTTATACGGGAAGATCCTTCTGTGGGGAGCTGGGAGTTAGGAAAGCTGTTTCTGTTTGTGATGTTTTGGGCTAGACTCTAGAGGACTTTCCTCTGCTAGACAACAGAATTCTTTATTTGGTGAGGGAGTTCTTTCTGCCTTGTTTATTTTATTTTATTTTATTGTCTTTTTGAGACAGGGTCTTGCTATGTAGTTTAGGCTGGCCTTGAGCTCAGGCTGGTCTCGAACTCGCAGCAGTCCTCCTGCTTCAGCCTCCCAAGTGCTGGGATTACAGGCGTGTGCCACCACTCCCTGCCTCTGCCTTGTTTATTGCAGAGTACAGTGTCTACAGGGTGGCCAGCTCTGAGGAATGAATTGGAGGAGAGGTACAGTTGGTAGAAATATTATCAAAATGATCACATTAGAAAATCCACTTAAGAGCCAGGCATGGTGGCACACGCCTGTAATCCCAGCACTCAGGAGGCTGAGGCAGGAGGATCCTTGTGAGTTCGAGGCCAACCTGGGCTACAAAGTGAGCTCAAGGCCAGCCTGAACTGCATAGCGAGATCCTGTTTCAAATAACAAAACAAAAACAAAAAACAAAAAAAAACCTCTACTTATATGTGGAAATCTAATGACCACAGGTCCCATAAATACTTAATGCATCAAGAGTTTTTACCTGATTCTCATGCTTCCTTAGTCCCTCGATTGTTGAACGTATACTGAGAGTTTAGTGTGTGTCAGACGTTGTTCTGGACACTTGAGGTGCATCAGTGAACAAGACACAAAAATTGCTGCCTCCGAGCGTCTGGGTGGGGAGTGCGTACATCCCTGGGTGCCCTGTCAGAGCCGAGTTCCCTACCCTCCCGTTCTTAACCCCCACAGCTGCCCTCTGAGCGGGGTGGAGCTTTCCACACATCTTGAGCCTCGTGGGCCAGTCTACCTTCCTAGCGTCTGGCAGTGATTCTTTCCCCCTCACCCTTGGGTCTTCGTTAAGCACTTGCTTGGCGAAAGCGTTTGGCTCCTTTGAGCACCGTGGGTTTCCTGAGTGAGCCCAGGAGAGAGGCTGCGGGCAGGAGGCTTGTCTCACAGCACCGGCGACACCGACACCGTGGTGATTAGAAAGTCAAGGAATGCGAAGCCGCGAATCCCTTCCACCCATAAACCGCTACCTGCCCTGTCTTCTTGTCCCTATCCTAGTTATCCGGTTCTCTACAAGAACCCAGGAGAGGGGAGAGGGAGCAACAGGGCGCTGCGGTTTTTGTGAAGCCCTGTTTCTGGTCGAGAAGGGAATTCATTGTAACTGTTAAGGCTGAGGCTGTGATGCCTTTACAACAGCCAGCCTCCCCAGCTCGAGTCTTTCTGGCTAGGGATTGTACCCAGGCCTTGCCCATGCTAAGCGTGCGCGGTACCCCCGAGCTACAGCCCCCCGCCTCAGGAAACTCCCCTCCTGATGAATATCGCCGTGACTCGGGGTGTTTCTCAGATCTTCTCATGAGCTTACAACCCCCCGACCTCAGGTTGACTTTGGCACTAGCAGGCCAAGTGGTGGTGGGGGGGGGGGCGTAGCGGAGGAAGTGTTTCATAGGAGTTTGGGGGTGATGTCTTTCTCTCGGGGCTGCACTGAGAGGCGGTGCGTGTCCGAGTGCCTGCAAACACTCGTTTCCTTCTGCTCAGTGTGTGGGTGTGTGTGGAGGGTTTGCTGTATGCCTCCGCATTGCCGCTGCATCGGCACTGCAGAAACTTCCAAGTACACTGGAGCGTTCGCCCCTGTTTTCAGACGGCCTTGTGCAGTGCGTGTTAATTAGCCTGGTCACGTCCCGTACCCGCCTGTGCATGGGAACCCGGGGAGGGAGGGTGATTTGGAAAATGACCGTCCCAAATACTTCGGCAGTAACAGCAGGACCTGCCGGAGACGGTGTTTCTCCGGTGCTGCTTTCCAGCCTTTGTTGAAATGCTCCGTCCCTCAGCGCAGGCTACTTCCTGCTTGATTATTCTGAGTGGGCAGTGACCGAAAACAGCCGTGTTGGGGCGGGAGCGGACAGAAGCACCTCTAGCCTCTGGCGCAGGGGTCTGGGGGGAAGAAGGGGTCTGGGCCCCTTGAGAACTGAAGATCCGTTCCTGTCTCCTCAGGAGCCCTCCCTGTATACTGTCAAAGCCATCCTGATTCTGGACAACGATGGAGATCGGCTTTTCGCCAAGGTGAGAGTCCCTTTCAGATTCGTGTAGGAGCAGCACAGAAACATTCTGTGGCTTGAATTGCAGAAGTGGCCCCTGTTAACTCGTTCTTCAGTAGTGTAATTCTGAAAACTCTTCTTTTTTTCCTTACGGTGACCCACCACTGAACTGCACCCAGCCCAAGGGTTCTTCCATCGTCCCTAAACCGCTCCGGATACAGCTTCGCTCGCTTTTTCCAGTGTTGGGCTTGAACCCCCGGCCTTCACACTGCTGTACAGCACTGGCGTGTTTTATTTACTCATTTATTTTGGTAGCAGAGTTTTACATTTATTAAACAAAGGGGAACAAAAAACAGGCTCTGCAGAGCAAGTTTGAGCCAAGGAGGGAAAAGTAAATTCTACAGCATGTAAGGGGTGGCTATCCTGAAGGGACGCGACACCATTTATTTATTTATTTATTATTTGGGTTTTTGTTTTGTTTTGTTTTTTCTCCAGTACCAGGAACCGAACTCACGACCTTGCGCTTGCCAGGCAGGCGCTTTGCCGCTGAGCTAAATCCCCAGCCCCTTATTTGGATTTTTTGAGACCAGGGTCCCGCTGTGCAGTCCAGGCTGCTCTCAAACTTGTGGTGATCCTCCTGCCTCAGCCTCCTCGTGTGCTGGGATACGGATGTGCACTGCTACACTGGGCTTTACACTTCCTTTTACCCCTTAGTTCCACTGTTTCCTTACTTGCTGTCCACAGTCTTTGACCTCCTTTGTTACCTCCAGCGGAGCAGGGAACAACTTTGTAACCTTAGTTCCTGAACAAAGCAGTGTAGACATTGGCAGCAACCTGGCTGTGTCCCTCACTCTTTTTTTTTTTTTTTAATCTTTTTGAGACAGGGTCTTGCTATGCAATGCAACCTGGCTGTGAGCTCACTTTGTAGCGCAGGCTGGTCTCGAACTTGCAACAATCCTCCTGCCTCAGCCTCTGGAGTGCTGGGATTACAGGCGTGCGCCACCACACCCGGCTCTTGTGTCCCTCACTCTTGTCCCCTTCCTGCCTGGGTTTTCTCAGAAAATTTCCTGCAGTTGTAGGATTCTAACCCTACGTGTACACATGCATCTGGGTGCAGTGTTTGTAACTTTGAATCTACTGTGAGAGAGGAGATAGGACACCCCTCTTCTCCCTCCATGCCCGCCCCCCCGCCAGAAATGTCTTCTGTCCCTGGTGTATGAGCTCCGGGCAAGCGAGGCATAAATCAATCAGCAGGTAGAGATTAGTTTAGAATTCACCAGCTGTTCCTCCCTGTAATTGGATGTAACTATGCAGGACACCTTTTGAAACAGTTATCCAGTTACTAAATGCCAGGCCTGTCATAGGTCTTCAGCTGACTGCGACGGATCGGCCCCTAAAGAGCAGAAGGGTTTAGCAGCCTGCGTCCCTGCCCCCTTGCTGGGGAGGGCTTGGGTGTGGGTGAGAGATACGCTGGGCAGCCCCTGCTGCCTTTGGCTTGTAGGAAAGAAAGCGGAGATACGGAGGCCCTGAGGCCAGGCTTGCCTGGCTTTGGAGATTTTCAGAGTCTTCCCCAGTCCCTCAGCTTCACACGCGAGGCAGCGGCTGAGGCGTGCTCTGAGCTGCTTGTGACTGTCATTTCCCTGGCACTGCCGCCTACCCCGGGCACTCCTGCAAAGCACTTGGGAATCTCTCACTCTTAGGAGAGCTCTCCTGAGAGGCAGATGGGAATCTCCTCAGGGAGCTTCGATAGTGTCAGCAGTGTGAGGTTACCCCATGGTCCCTTTCTTTAATTTATTGATTGATTGATTGATTGTCTTTTTGAGACAGGGTCTCGCTATGCAGTTCAGGCTGGCCTTGAGCTCACTTTGTAGCCCAGGCTGGTCTCAAACTTCAAATGATCCTCCTGCCTCAGCCTCCCGAGTGCTGGGATTACAGGCGTGCACCACCACGCCTGGCTCCTTCCTTTATTTTGTAAAATTTGATTACTCACCACCCATCCCCTGCCCCAGAGGTCCCTCCTCCTCTGGGTCAGCGTTTTCCACTTGCTCCTGCCTCGAAGGAGAGAAATCAAGAACCCAGGGCCAGACACAGCCACTAATCATTCTGGGCTCCCTGCTCCGCTGACCTAACCCTGTCTCCTTTCCCTCCGACCAGTACTATGACGACACCTACCCCAGTGTCAAGGAGCAGAAGGCCTTTGAGAAGAACATTTTCAACAAGACCCATCGCACTGACAGTAGGTCATTTTCCTTTCCCAACTCCCTCTGTTTGGGGGACCCGTGGGAGGAGGGGGTGGCAGCAGGACTGCAGAGAAAGGATAAAATGACTCTGCCTCCTTTTTCTTTTTTCCTCCTCCCCTCGTATAATAAACTCCTCGGAAATGTAATGGGGAGGTGAGTGTACCTCACGCGGGAATACCGTGCTGGAAGGTTGGCTGTTAGCTACCTGTCTAGTCCCTGGATTTATGAGCCTCACTTGACAAATTTAACTGCAGCTCTGCTTATTGTACCGCATCCATTAGGGCAGGTAAATGGAAGTCTGTAAAGGTGACCGCTCTGCATTCTCACCTCGGAAGGATTGACTAGTATCCTGTCTCGTGGACAAGGAGGGAAATGTGTGTGCTGGCCGGGAATGGGGAGGGAGGGTTGGAGGAGAAGATACATTTAGACGCCCCCAAGTTTGTGCCTCCCTTCTGCTACCACCCACAAATAGATCAACTTTGGGCTTTGGAGGTCACGACAGCCTTCCCTCCCTCGGCACCAAGCCGCCGGGGCCGGAGTTCACAGCACCTCCCTCCGCTCTGCTTCCCGGCTTCCTCGTCAGGCTGCCCCTGTTTCCACCCCCACAGGTGAAATTGCTCTCTTGGAAGGCCTGACAGTGGTGTACAAGAGCAGTATCGATCTCTATTTCTATGTGATCGGCAGCTCCTATGAAAACGAGGTGAGAATCCCCACCCCGCTTTGAGGTCTGATCCTGTTCCCTCAGCCACAGGCGGGACGTGGCCGCCAGCTTTGGGCTTAGGAGAACCACGTCTCTCTGGCTTCTGATAGGTCTAACAAAATGGTCAGGATCCCATAGGTGCGCAGACATGGCCTTGCAAATGCATCAGCCTAGGAAGAAGGTTTTCCCAGATCTTTTTTTTTTTTTAATCTGTATGTAAAAGAGTCAGTGTTTTATATGTGTATGTGTTGTTATTGTTTCATTTTATGAGACAGGGCTTACGGTGAGAGTGGCCTTGAACTTGTTATGTAGCCCAGGGTGGACTTGAACTTTAGATCCTCTGGCTTCAGCTTCCCATGGGCTAGATTACGGGTGTACGCCATGATGAACACAGTGGCTGCCGGTCTCTCGCTGGGGACCGAACACACGGCCTCGTGCACGCTGGGCAGGTGCTCTACCCCTGAGCTGCATCCCCAGGTTTTAAAATCTTATTTTTAGACAAATTCTCACTACATTGCCCAAGTTACCTTTGGATTTGTGAAGCCTCCTAAATAGCTGGGTTTATAGGCATGTGACACCACACCTGGCTCCTGTGGTGTTTTTGTTTTTAATATTTGTGTGTGTGTGTGTGTGTGTGTGTGTGTGTGTGTGTGTAACTTGGAGATTGATGCCATGACCTGTGCACTAAGCTACATCCCCTGCTTTTTAAAAGATCTTATTTTGAGACAAGGTCTCTCTAAGTTGCCTAGGTTAGACAGTCCTCCTGCCTCAGCCTCCCAGAATGCTGGGATTACAAGTGTGTACCACCATACCCAGCTTGCATATTGTTTTTTTCAGATGGATTCTGAGGTGTGATCAAGGTTGTGGGGGAATCCTGGCTTCTGCTGTGAAGGGTCCGTCCTGGCTGGGTTTGGGCTCCAGGGCAGACACACTGGTTCATACTGAAGCCATACAGATGACTGGGTCACTTGCTAAGTCATACGGCGTGCATGGGACTGTGAGTGTAGTCCTGACTGGCTTCCTGTAGGTGGGGAAAACTTTACCTCAAGTAGCAGCAGCTTTGTGAGAGCAGAAAAGTAAAAATAAGCCTCCGGCTAGTTTCCTACAACAGTAAGTTTGAAAGACACACATTGTACTGAGCTTGATTTTTGCGGTGAGTGCTTTCCAGAGTACATTGTTACTTGAGCCCTGCAGCCCTTCTGTGAATTGAGGCATCAGTACCATTGCTTACCGAGGACGAAACCAAACCATGAGGAACCATAGAAAGTCACTTGTGTTTGACCATTGTTAAACTGCCCAAGTGTCAGTTTCACGTGGTTCAACCTAGTACTGTGACTTTCTCAGGGTCACGCATGTAGAAACGGGTTAGAGCCCAGCTCTGTCTGACTCAGAGGCCTTTGTCCAGGCGCTAACGGTGTAGCTAGTGGTAGAGTTCATACTGAGCATCGTCCGGGTTCTGGCTTCACTCTCCAGCACCAAGAAACAAAACAAAAATCAACAGAAAGAAAAGGAAGGAAGGAAGAAGCCGTCTCTCCCCACTGGTGCTGCCGTCCTCTGGCCTTATAGCTACTGCTGGCCCTTCCTGCCCGCATCATCGGACGACACACGTAGAGCTGGGACAGACCCACAGGGGACTATGGCAGAACAGTTCTTGTTGAACTTCTGGCCAGAAGAGACCTCAGCCTGCGGGATCACATAGCAGAGTTCACTTCGGTCAGAAACCGCAGGTCTTCTTCCTGTTCTGCTCTCATTTCCACCTTGTGTTTTTGGTCCTGTAATGTATTTTTATGCTAATGACATAGGTAGTTTTACTTTTGGGTAACAGTTTTCAGAGCCTTGAACCTACTTTTACTGCCTCTGTCTCCCAATAGCTTATGCTTATGGCTGTTCTCAACTGCCTCTTTGACTCCTTGAGCCAGATGCTAAGGTAAGCAGCCATTGTTTTGTTTTTTAAGTATTTCTGTTTTGAGACATAATCTCACTGTGTAGCCCAGGGTAGCCTTGAACTCGTGATCTTCCTGCCTCAGCCTCAGGTGGTAGGATTACAGGGGTGTGCTACCATACCCAGCTGAGCAGCCATTCTTTTTTTTTTTTTTTTGAGACAGGGTCTCTGTAGTCCAGGCTGACTTTGAACTCACTGTGTAGCTTAGACTGGCCTCCAACTCATGGCAATCTTCCTGCCTCAGCCTCCCAAGTGCTGAGACTACAGGCGTGCACCACCATACCTGGCTAAGCAACTTTTTTTTTTAATTTATTTATCTGTTCTTTTGGAGACAGGGTCTCACTATGTAGTTCAGGCTGGCTTGGACTCACTATGTAGCCCAAACTAGCCTCGAACTCCTGCCTCAGCCTCCCAAATGCTGGGATCATAGGTATATGCCACCATGCCCAGTTTGAGCAGCCATTCTTGGTCTTGGTTTGGGAGAGAAAGTATTTCTCAGGCCCTAACTATATTCTCCAGGTCCAGAGGTTGGCAGAGGCTCCGGGAAGTTGGCTGAGTTTGAGTGGCTAGGCTTACTGCTTCAGAGTAACTCACAGGGAGGGGAGGACTGGACGGAGAGCATGTCTTCCCGGGGAGCACTTCAGCTAAGGAGGAAGGAGGTTCCCTACTGCTCCCCAGTGGCGCGCTCAGAGGGCCAGGCGCCTTCCGCATGCCTTCCGCTCCATTCTGTGCCGCAGGGAAAGGCCAGGGTGGCAGCATGCCCGATGGAACACGTCCACCTTGAGAGTGGAGGCAGCACTCCAACCTGCCCTCCCCGTCCCTCTGTAGAGCAGGAAGAACGTACCATTTAGCCTCTTCTCCCTTTCCACCGCCCAGCTACCGCTGTTTTCCATGGAGAAGGGCAGAAAAGATATAAGATACTTTTCCTGAAACCACCCAGGGCTCTGGACATCATTCCAAGCAGCTCCCATGCGAGCTCTGTCCAGACAGCCTTCCCGAGCGGAACAGCGGGCGCTCTCAGCCCCACGAAATCAGCAGGGCGAATGGCTCGGGTTTCCTCGGGAAGGGGATGATTTATTTCCTAGCCAGGTGAATGAATAGACTTCATTTCGGGTAATCTAGTGAAAGAGTCAAACTGACAGATGTGACAGGCCACATGCACCGGCCGCCGGCTCTGAGGCTGGGGGCGCAGACCCCGACCGTCTTACTCCCCTCGCTGGGCTGCTCGGGCCTGAGCAGAAGTGGTGAGGGCGGGGAAGGAGGGAAAGCGGAGAAGCTTCGGAGGTCTGTCAGCATGGGGCGCCGATGGGGTCTATCCTCACCCCTCCTCACCTCCCACACCACCAGACTGAGTTCGAGCTCCATTTATCTCCTCTTTCCTACCCACTCATGGCTGTTCGTAAGCAGTGTCATGAGCAGCTTTGTGGCAGGTAGGAAAGAAATGATAGGAAATAATAAATAGCTTTAGGCAGTCAGCCTATGAACAGTCAGATATTATCAACTGTGCTGTTTAAACTCTGCTTGACATTCCCGCTCCTTACTCAGCAAACAAGAACAGGAAGAGGTATATAGTGGATTAACTCAAAAGTTCTTCACCCGATTCGCTTACCTGTCTGCTGGAAGCAAGTATTGGTCTAGTTTAGAGTCCCCTGTCCAGGTAAAGTCCTAGGATGCATTTCACACGCAGGCTGATTATTCGCTTCTTTTGGGAACTTAGGAAAAATGTAGAAAAGCGAGCACTGCTGGAGAACATGGAGGGGCTGTTCTTGGCTGTGGATGAAATCGTGGATGGAGGGTGAGTTCCCTGACCAGCCTGAGTGTGGGCAGGGATGCGGGTGGGGGTGACTGCTCCTCATAACGTCAAGTGGCCTGAGTACCTAGAAGTCATATCTCATAATAAGCCGGCCCTTCGGCACAGCGTGAACTGTGCTCTGTCCTTTGCAGGGTGATCCTAGAGAGTGACCCACAGCAGGTGGTACACCGAGTGGCGTTAAGGGTAAGCAGAATCGGGTTTCCCCGAACCCTCCGTCTGCCTGCAGACACCCTCCAGAGTCATACCTGCTGAATGGGTCTGAGGCAGGGCTGACGGAGTACGTACGCCCTTCTCTTTCCCTTCCCGTCTCAGTGTGCCGAAGAAGCCAAGCGTTAGGAGCTTAGTTCTGCCCCTAACATGGTGCCTAACGTCTCCGACACTCTTTGCACAAAGTGGACACTTAACGTGTACGTACTGAATGAACGATAACATAGAATGTTCATATTCAAGGCTCCGAAACTGTAAAGGAACTTGAGGTTGGCTTATTCTCTTTGAGGGTGGATCCAGTCATCTGAGATACAGAAGTATCTTTCCTCTTTTTCAACAGCTTTTTTTTTTTTTTGAGAGAAGGTCTCACTATGTAGTTCAGGTTGGCTTTGAACTGTGTAGCCTAAGCCAAGCATGGTGGCACACGCCTATCATCGCAGCACTTGGGAGGCTGAGGCAGGAGGATCGTTGCGAGTTTGAAATCAGCCTGGGCTACAAAGTGAGCTCAAGGCCAGCCTGAACTGCATAGCGAGACCCTGTCTCAAAAAAAGAAAAAAAAAAACAAACTATGTAGCCTAGGCTGGCCTTGAGTTTATGAGGCTCCTCCTAGCTCAGCCTCCTAAGTGCTAGGATTACAGGCATATGCCACCCTGCCTGGCCTTTTTTCCTTTTTTTTTTTTTTTTTTTTTTGGTGCTAGGAATCGAACTAAGGACCTTGTGATTGCCAGACAGGTGCTGTGCCACTGAACTATATCCCCAGCCCTTCTTTTAACATCTTTTTTTTTTTTTTTGTCTTTTTGAAGCAGAGTTTCACTATGAGGTTCAGGCTGGCTTCAAACTCACAGTAATCCTCCTGTCTCAGTCTCCTGAGTGCTGGGATTACAAGCATGCGCCACCATACCTAGTTTGCTTCTTTTAACATCTTATGTGCCAGGGATATAGCTCGGGCATAGCACCTTCCTGGCAAGCATAAGATCCTGAGTTCGATTTCCTGTACCAAAAAAAAAATCTTATGTGGCAGGATAATCTCCACAAGGAAGTGCTTAATTTCCAGAACTTTAATCCTCTTTGGTGCTAGTGATCTCAAAGGGCCCTCAGAGTTAACTACAGAAGGCTGGGGAGAGCATGGGGTTCACCTGCAAGTTGTGGGGTACAGAGATATCTGGGCAGCCCAAACCTCCCTATTCACAGAATGTCCCCGCTCTGACCTCCAGAGTGAAGGCTGACAGTGCTGGGTGACGGCAGATCTTCCCCCTTAACTGCCGTGGGCTGCATTTGCATAGTTTAATCTTCTCCTCTAACATATGTCTCTGTGGCAAGAGAGAGGGCCCCCCCGACTCCCCCCTTTCCATTCTCAGGCTGCTGTTGCAGCAGTTTATTTCTGCAAATTAACATGCTGTCGTTACCCATCAGGCCTTGCGGGATCCATTAAACTACCCCTGGCTCCCCCTCATTCTTTCCCCAGTGATATTGATATTCAGGAAAGGTCTCCTCTGACTAGGGAATCAGGTCTCCCACCCCCGAGTTGAGGGAGTTGAGGATCAGATAACCTGCTGATTACTTGGAATGGAATAAATCTTTTAAGAAGTCCTCCTGCCTTAAAATGTAGCATGGATGAAATGACCCTTTTGTGTTCACGGTCCCTCTGGTTAAGTAAGATTTCAGTTCCTAGAAAGGACTGGGAAGTTCAGGGTGTCTGCGTTTCTCTTCAGTTTAAAGAAGCAGCCTTGCTGTCCACTCCCAGACACCAATCTAAATGCTTGTGTCTGTGCCACAGGGTGAAGACGTTCCCCTCACTGAGCAGACCGTGTCTCAGGTACGACTCTGACTTTCTCCCCTCTGCCTCTCCACGTGGACACAGTCAGTAGAGAGGGTGGATAGCAGCCCAGCCGACCTGCCAAGTCGGAATGGCCTCAGAGACCGCTCCCCTCCTTGGTCCCCTTGAGTTCCGTGTTCTGGAGAACTGGGGCTCTGCCCCAGAGCCCACTGCCTCCACCCCCACTTCAGCTCCTCGGTCGCCGGTGAGCAGTGGCCGTCAGCCTTGCTCTGTACCCTTCAATCCCTCCCTGCCCCGTGCCCCATCCAGTGATTTACTCCCCAGCAGAGGCTGCCTTAAGCAGATGGTCTGTGTGTGTGCGCGCACACACTCCTATTATTCAAATGAGGGGTACGCCAGAAATGTATATTCCAGAATGTGCAGGTTTTGCAACTCATCCTGCTATCGTGACTGCAGGTAAACTGTCAGCCTGATTCAGGGTGCAAAGGAGGGTTCTGGGTTCGGTGGGGGTTTTTTTGTTGTTTTTTTTTTTAGTTAGGGTCTTGGTCTGTAATTCCAACTGGCCTTGAACTCACTGTGTAGCCCAGGATGGCCTCAGACTCACTGTAACCCTCTTGCCTCAGCCTCCTGAGTGCTGGGATCATAGGGGTACGCCACCAGGAGGGTTCTGTTTTTTTACCCACTGGGAATCCTCCCCAAGGAATATATCTGGATGTATAACTAACTCCCTCTTTTTATCCTATGCCCAGTAACCCCCAGCTTTTTCTTTTCTTATGAATGTATCTCTTTTCATTCCCGCAGTGGAAGGAAGGGCCGAGGATATAGCTTAGTGGCACAAGTGCCTGCCTGGCAAGTGCAAGGTCCCGAGTTCAGTTTCCGGTACCAAAAAAAAAAAAAAAAGTCAAAACATTCTCCCAGTAGATTCGAATTTGGGGTAAATTCCCCAAACCGACAATCTTCTAGTACCTTCAAGAACCCCCTCCTACTCCTCCTACTCCTGTACCCTCAGGGATTTTCTATTTCCTGTTCTTCTAAGGACAGGATAGGCCAGTGAGGGCAGAGCGAGCCTGATTGCCCTCTCTCCTCTGCAAGCCTCCCTCAGGGCCGCGTGTGTCTCCGCAGGTGCTGCAGTCTGCCAAAGAACAGATCAAGTGGTCCCTGCTTCGGTGAAGACCCTCCTCCTGGCTCCAAGCCCCCAGCTGAGGCTCTCAGGGTCATCTTGGGGATCACAGGGGACCCTTAAATCTCCATCCCGTCTGGGCTGCTCTTCCCCCCACACACTTGCCTTCCCTTCCTACTCTTTCTGCCGGGAGGAAAGCGCCCAGCAGATGCAGATCCCGGCGGGGAGCACCCTCTTCCTTCCTAGGCTGGGCAGCGTCTATGCGCCCTACCCTGTATTTTCTCAACTTCTTTGCCCTTTGCTGCAGCCACATCCAGATCAAAGCAGGAGGAGGAACGTGCTGTCTTCCACCTTTGCCTCTACGCAGCCTCCATCCCAATAGCACACGTGTTTGGCAGGGCGGGGGCAGGGACGGGGACGACGGGGACTGCCCGGACGAAGCCAGTCTCGCCCCACTTACTGGCCTTCGCCACCTCCTGTTTCTTCTTGCTGCCCTGTCCTCTGCCTTGGAAAGGGAATTGAGGAATAGCTTACAGGAAGGGGACAGGGTGGCAGAAACTGACTTAAATGTCATGTAGGGCCTTTAAAACTCATTCTGGGGGCTGGGGATTTAGCTCAGCGGCAAAGTGCCTGCCTGGCAAGCGCAAGGTCGTGAGTTCAGTTCCCGGTACCGGAGAAAAACCAAAAAAAAAAAAAAAAAACTCATTCTGTACCCTGATCTGGGCATATAGCTTCAGAACCTCTGTGGTCTGAGTGGTCACTGCGAGTGTCGGCCCGTTGTCCGCTCTTAGCTCTCCACCGTCACTACCTGTGGGATTGGTGCCCGCTTTGTCCTCACTCTGCCCTGCAGCAGAGCCACTCGCTGGAACTGAAACTCCATTCTCATGTCCGGAAGAAGAGTTTCTGCTCAGAACTGGAGAAGAAGGGGCACTGCGGCTTGGACCTGGAGGCTCCCTTCCCTGGAGTGCGTTTGCTCCTCTGCCTTGGGTCTCACTCGGCTGTTTAACCCTAGCCTGTCTCTGCCTCAGCCTTAGATGAAAAAGCTGTAGATCTGGGCGCTCCATCTCCCTAGACTGCTGAGCGAGGTGCCTTTCCCTTGGGACCTGGGTTTCCCCGGGAGAATAGACACTGGAACACCTACTGTGGGTCTAATCATTCGCCTTGGCTCAAAGCTTCCTCCCCACAAAAAGGTCTTAGAAAGCCCTTCCCGGGACCTAGCATTCCGCCCTACCCACTGCCTGCCGCTTGTCCCGCGCTCGAGCGGGGCAATGACGGGGTGTTTGAGGAGGCACCTTCGAGTAGGAGGTGAATCAGGAGACGGCCACCTTCCTATACTGCTCTGCAAAGGGGAATAAAACATTTCTTTTTCCAAACTGCCTTTGTGTGATGTTTCTGTGCCTCTTCCTCTCTTTTTGGCAGCTAGTCCTATTCCTCCAGCCCCCACCCCCCAACTTAACATTTCTTCTACCTCTGAGACTCTCCGGCACCCCCAATCCCTAATTTACGGGGCTGCTTGCCTCCTTGGCATCCCTCAGTCCCCTCGCCTGGAAATCGGCGCCAGGGGTGGGGTGGGGATGGTATTTTTCTCAGTGGGAGTCTCAGGGAACTGCGTTCTCCGCACACCACCCCCAAAGCCAGCTGCCTGCTCCCGCCTCAGCCATTAGTAACCCGGAGACGCGCACCTGCGTGGGGGCGCGCCTCCAGCCCCTCTCCCTTCCTGCGCCTCCCACCCCGGCTCTGAAACGGCACTGAGCGGGTTATTTATCGGAGCCAGCGCTGCTCCAGAAGGTCAGGACGGCGGTGTAAATAACCTCTTCTCGCCATTTCCCCGTCCCTCCAGAGCCTGCTCCCCTCCCCCTCCTCCACCTTTATTCGCACAAATGAATGTGGCTGTGCTGGCGCGGAGCCTGGCCCTGCATCTTAATGGGGCGGTGAGCTCACAAGATGGATTTAGCTGGGGGTTTTATGGTTGCCGCGGCGACAGGAGAATGCGTTGGTTTTCTTTCCCCCTTCCTCTGCAGAATTTTAAGGAGGGGGTAGTGTGAGGAGCCATCCTCTCTCCTGCAATTTCAAGGGTCTCCTCAGTCACCTCTCCTGCTCATGAAATGAGCCTGCAATTCTCGGATTAAGCAAGAGAGATGGAATTAATAGCTCAGACAGAGAAGGATGAGAGAAGGAAGGTAAAGGGGTGGGGAGCGCATCTGCAGCATCAGGACCTGAAGCCGAGAGTTGTCTAGACTCGCCTGTGCCTCTGAGGGAACCTGGCTGTTAGGCTCAGCAGCTGTGGGACAGCTGGGCCCAGGAGCCCTCTGAGCAGGTAGAAAAGAAAGTACAGCGGGCAGGAGAAAGGCCAGGATCTCTTCTGTCTGTGCCTGCTGTAGCCGGGGAAAAGCAGTGGCCAGTCTCAGCAGCCTAACCTCCCTGCTGGTCACCCCGTCTGGCCCTGGGGAGGCGAGGTGTGTGTCAGGGCCAGTGCTGGGGGCTGGTGATCAGCGGTGGTGTGCAGAGTGGGGTTCTGTCCAGCTCTCTAATTTGGAATTCTCGCAACTTCAGGTTCTCCGGCCTTCTGTTTCCCACTAGGAATAGAACTTCGGTGGCCTGGCCAGCGGTTTTCTTTTGGGACTAAGAGCAAACCCAGCCCCAACACCAACTGGAGCAGAGCTGGGAAGCAGGGTCTGAGGGTCTCCCTCCCTTGCTTTCTGTCTGGCTGTGGCCTCTGACTTTCTGTTCGTGAGCTTTTCCCTCTTCCCCAGGGGCCCTGAGGCCCCTCCTCCCTTCTCCCTCTTCTTCCCCTTTGGCTGGGAAAGTGACTACAGCCTGAACCGTGCCAGACACCTGCCTGCCAGATGTGGCGATTCCCTGTTCTCTCCACCCTCCCCTGTGCTATCCTTTCCCCACCCCACTGAGCTCAGGCAGAGGGAGCCCCCCACAGGGTGATTTACTGCTGCAGCCGCTAGCCGCTCCTCCTCAAGTGCCCCCTTAGGCTCCTCACTCCTCCGGTGCCCGTGCCCCCTTTTTTCCCACCCGGCCTGCAGCGGCCTTCCTGGGACAGCCTCCTCCCGCTCCCATGCAGGGTGCTGGGCTGTGAATGGGTGCGGCGGGGTGACTGGCCTCTGTTGCACCCATGGGACAGTACATCAGCAAAAGGGCCGAGGACAGTGGCGGCCAGCGCTGATGTCATTCCCACAAGAGGAAAAAGGGAGGTGGCTGCAGAAGAGGTTAATGAGGAGGGAACCAGCACTTCAAGATGGTCTGCAAAGGAGAAAGGGGCCTCCAAGAACCCCTAGACAGGCGAGAGAGTCCAGGACCGTCGCGGCCGCCTGGCGGACATTACATCTTTGTTTCTCAGCCTGGGTTTCCAGACCTTGTCTCTAGATCTGTTTCTCATATGGTTCAGTAGACGCCCTTCGGCCCCTTCCCTTAGATCATTTGAAAGCACACTCTTAAGGGAGCACTGAGTGCGTGCCTTGCTCTGGCGTGTGCCCTCTGTGTCTTTTCCGGCAGTCTCTTCCCTTAGTTACGCTTCGCCCTCTGGTCACCGCCTCGCCTCCCCCTCTGCCTCAGTGCCACGGCAAACGGGAAGATTCTCAGCTGTCCCACCAGAGTAGGGGCTCAGCCCAAGGAGCCTCTTTTCTCCTTCCCTACCCTCCTTGCAACCTGACTCCCAAAGGGCTCCACGGAGCCAGACCTCGGTTCAGTTCCCGGGTTCAGTTCCCGGTGGGACTGGGGACCGAGGTCGGGGCGATGGCTGGGCTGAAGAGGGGCAGGAGCAGGGGACATGGAGTCCAAGGAAGTGGGGAGGAGGGTTGCAAGAAGACGGAACTGGAAACACGGTGGGGCAGAAAAAGCAAGTCAGAGACAAAGAGGCAGAGGCTGCGAGCTAGCAGAAAGCTAGAATAACCAGCTGGGAGATGGAAAGGGACACGAAGAAAGACTGGGAGCAGAGAGAGAGAACGCGGAGATGGAGACAGGAAAGTCACAGCAAGAGAAGGCTGCTGCGGGGGACGGGCTAGGGGCAGGCTGGCTCCCCTGGGCTCCCTCAGGCTGGCAGGCCTTACATCCGGTGTTTGTGCACATGTACACACGGCGCGGGGGTGCTGAGGGTCCTTGGGTGGTGATAAGGATGATTCCTGCAATACCTTAGTTCTCCACTTTCTTTTAGCAGCCTCTTTCCGTGGGGTACCCCAAACCGACCCTCCCACCCCACCCCCAGGCCCAGCATTCCTGACGCCGCAGGGAGCCTTGTGAAGGTACTTGTACTCTTCTCAGGAATCCTGTCTCTCAGTTGGAATGCAGGCCTGCTGGAATGTCCAAGAGCCATACAATCAAGAGGCCCCCTCCCCTCCCTGCCCCCCCCCACCAGCTGCTCCTGTCCCTCTTCTCCTCCCACTCCCCTTGTATCTTCCCCTCCTCCACAGTGAGCCCTCCCCCAGCCCTGACCCCCAGCCTGCCTGGGGCCTGGGTCAGAGGGGAGACAAAGACAGGATTTATCACCAGCCTAGAGAAGCGGTCAGGGACCAGGGCTGGGCCAGTGGCTGACCTCTCTGCAATGGGAGGGAATGCTAGGCCAGGGGCTGCGAGGCTGGGGTCCTGTAGCTCCTGCTCCCAAACCCCAACTTTTCCTACCTGAGCCTTGCTCTTTCCTTGTTTCTGAAAACCGTGACTTGGACAACCCTGAGGTGACTTTTAGCCTCTGAAGGAAAACTGGAAGGAGGGAAGAGGTGAGCGCTGTGTCTTTGAGACAGAGTCTCACTTTGCACTTCAAGCTGTCCTTAAATTCACTATGTCCAGGTTGGCCTAAAACTCCAGTGAGCCTCCTGCCTCAGCCTCCCGAGTGCTGGAATTACAGGTGTGTCCCACCACACCTGGCTGAGGTCCATGTTTTAAGGTTACTTTCTTGTGGATATTGAGGAGGGGTCAGGCACCGGTTGTTTCCAGGACTAGGAAGGAATTCAGCTGTAATACTGCAACAGATGAGATACACAGGGACTCCCCCCTCATATAAAGAGGGACTTCTCAAGAACAGGTCCAGATTGCCACTACGGAGGGAAATAAGGGTCTTGAAAATGAAGAAGGAACTGGCCAAAGGTTGCTAGCTCCAGCCCTTCTGAGAAAGCCTTCCTTCCTGAGATGCCCAACTCCTGCCTCACAAATAAGGAGCAGCCCGGGCCCTGGCTTTACAGTAAATACACTATTGGCCTGGAATTGTCTCTACTCAGCAGACAGGGAGTGTGCCGGAGCAGAGGGGATGGTGTGCTGCAGGAGTTTCCGAGAAACCAACTGTATATCTCCGCGGATGGCTCTCGAGCGCGCCGCGCTGCCCTTGGAGCCCCACCACAGGCCTTCCAGTCTCTGTGTCAAAGGCCTCCATGCGCCCAGCTCTGAGGTTCAGCCCCTCCAGCCCCTGGCACCCGACACCCTACTGCCTGCCTTCATCCTACTGTCCTGGGTGAGGAGAGGGCAGAAGGACGAGAAAGTGAGGCAGCTGGGTGCTTCCAAACTATAACCTCACCGTCATCCTCCCAACCCGCACCCTCCCGATTTCTTGCGGTCTCCTCTCAAACTCTTCTGCAAACTGAAACCATTCACTCCATTTCTGACGAAAAGCCCAAAGTTGGGAATGTTAGCGGTAAGGGGTTATGGGCTGGGTGGACAGATCTGGAGAGGACAAAAGGACTGGGGAGGTAGTTGCTGTGTAAGGAAGAAACAGGAAAAGGGAGAAGAGAGCCTCTTTTTTCATTACTCCCCCTTCCCCCAATTGAGGAGGCAGATTTACAGCCTTGGTTTGGGGGGGTGGTGAGCATAAGGAAGACAGATCTGCAGTTCTGCCCTCTGAGTGTCTGGGTACTTAGCTTTAACTCCCCCATTAGCATCAATCCCCATCTTGCTGCCCATCCGTCTTCTGACATCAGCTCCTTCCCCTCTCTGTAGCCCGGGCTTTCTGACCCTAAGTGCCTTTTAAAGGGCCAGTCTAGACCCTTCTCTCTCCCTCCTCCCACTCCTGGCAGCAGGCTGGGGCGAGCGCGCATGCGCACTGCACTGGAGCCCACCTCGCTAGAGCCAGAGTAGACAGAGGGCATGGTAGGGGTGGAGACTCTTCCCAGCTCTGTTCCTCTTAGACTCCCCTTACATCATGATCCCCATCTTTGTTCACTTCCCACTCAGGCCCAGGCCAAGTGCTTCGGCTGGGGGAGAGGTTACGGACACACAGGCTTTGTTGCTGAGAGCCGGGGAAGGCATGTGCATCTACAAGCAGATCCTTCCTCCCTCACTTCCTGGAGGCCCAGGGCAAGGGGTGTCAAGGGGTGCTGGCTGTTTTAAATTCTCAGCCAGCAGCGGGGGAGCACAGGTTGAGGTCTGAGGCTCCTAGGAGATG